CTTCATTCTTACGTAATTTCCAAGTTTTCTTTATTAAACATGGATGACTTGTTTTGCAGATTTATTGAGGTATAATTGACACACAATAAACTGCACTTACTTAAAGCATAAAATTGGATAGATGTTGATATAGTGTACACCAGTGAGACCATCACCACGTGAAGGGGTGGACATACCTGTCACCCCAAAGTTTCCCTGTGCCCTTTGTGAAGTTTCCCTCTCACTCCTCCCCATTCAGCCACCAATCTGATGTCTGTCACAGTTTGGCTTGCATTTCTAGAATTTGATATAAGTTGAAATAGATAGCATGTATTCTTTTTTGATCTGGCTCCTTTCACTCAGCCTCATTATTTTGAGATTCATCCAAGCTGTTGGTGGGTTTCAGTAGTTGTTTATTACTACTGAATAGTATTCAGTTTCTGGCCGTATCACAGTCTGTTATCCATTCACTGTTTTTTGCCCTTTGTCTTTTCTTTTCTTTGTCTTTTTTTTGGGATGGGGGTGGGGGGGCAGTACTTAGGTTTATTTATTTATTTATTTATCTGATGGAGGTACTGGGGATTGAACCCAGGACCTCATGCCTACGAAGCATGCGCTCTACCGCTGAGCTGCATCCTCCCTCCACTCATTCGCTGGTTACTGAACATACTGGTTGTTTCAACGTTTGGCTGTTACCAATAATGCCTGGATAAACATTCATGTCTTTATACCTACAGATATTTCTTTTTCTCTTGGGTAAACAGCTCAGAGTAGAATGGCCGAGTCATATGGTAACTCTGGGCTTAACTTTTTGAGGAACTGCCAAACTGTTTTTGTGTTTTGTACGGTTTTTTGTACTTCTACTAGGAGCCTATGAGTTTGTTTGTTTCTTTTTAAAAATTACATGAGAAATAAATGAATATCTTGCTGCTGGGAAAAGAAAATTGTAAAAAATCAGAAATATCTAGAGGAAGTTCGAGTTCCCCTTCATTCACCTTTCCCAGCTCCTCATATGTATTTGTTATTAAAAGCTTGGTGTGTGTTCATCCACAGCCTTGTCTTTGTGTGGGCGTGCATGTGTGTGCACACATGGGTGTCTGCATGTGAATGCGTGTGCATGTGTGTTGAGTGGGATTCTGTGGTCCTGTGGCTCTGGCTCTGGGCTTATTCAGTGCACATTGAAGCCTGGAGACCTTCCTTGTCAGCGCCTATAGCTCTGAGCATCGTACTTCAATAATCAGGGGAGGAAAGAGGTTGTTGATGCAGTTAGAATTTATTGACCTGTCTCGTGCAAGAGGCAGGTCTCTTTGAAATGTTCGATGGGTTTGACCCTTGGGGAAGTTTCTTTTTCTTCTCACAACTGAGGGAGGATTGCTTTTCCTCCTGCGGATCCTCGTCTCCTGGTAGCACCACGGGCGTGGCTGCCCTTCTGGAGAGTGAGAGAATGTTCAGTGAACATCTGACGGACGGCGAGAGGGTTTCAGCAGCACTGCCATCATGTTCTGAGTGGGCTGATCTCATGTCTGTCAGAGCAGGGTCGCCTCTTCTGGTCCCCCGTCGCGTCCTGTACTTGTACTGGTGGTGAGGAGGCTCACACACAGCTAGTCATTCTGAGAAGGGCAAAAGGGCTTCAACTCTTCAACTTTCAGCTTTGTAGATGAGTGAAATTAGGAGTTTCTTTTTTATTGTGTTGGAGAACATTTACCATATCTGCCCAATGTGGTGAGAAAACTTACTCTCTTGTTTAAAACAGACCATAATGTAATCTATGCCTGGTGAACTCTACAGTTTTTTATTGCCTCCTCTAAGTGTATTTTTCCCTCTTATTTTAACAGTCTTGTGTTGCTAGGAGTGCATGAAATGGTACCACTTTATCTCTCTCTCAGCAGTTATCTGGGGGCTAAATCACTTACACCTACTAAAATTAGGACTATCTTATATACCCCACACTTAACATTGTAACCTAAACACTTCCCATGTTATTAAATAGCAATTCAAAACTTAAATTAAATCCAAATCTTAATTGTTAATAACTTCACCATATTTCAGATGTGGACCTACCATAATTTATCTAACCATTCCCTTGTGGTTGATTGATTTTTGCTAATAGATGAAGATTCTGAGTAGCACTAAAGTGAAGAAGAGTTATACAAATTATTCATTGTGATCAGTGGAAATTAGGTTCTGGTGGCAATACTAAAATTACGTTAATTATCAGGTCTTGAATTTTTTTTTAAATTGAACTACCATCAGTTACAATGTGTCAGTCTCTGGTGTATAGCAAAATGTCCCAGTCATGCATATACATGCATAAATTCATTTTCATATTCTTTAGAATATTTTACTCCTCTAATGGTAATGCTTTCCTCATTGTTTTTCAACTAAATATTTTATGCAACTCTTTTTACTTTACTCATTTTAGACTTCAATCTTTAGAAAATGTTGTCAATTTTTACTCATTTTTTGATAGTAATTTAAAATGACACGTTACTTGCTAGCCTCTGATGAGTGTAGTTGTTTAAAAGTCTGTGTTTATATATTCAGCCATTCCACAGGGGACCTGAATGTCAGTCTCTTGCACACAAGATACCCCACTTTGTGTCATCTGCAAAGAATAAATTGGAGACATCGTGACATGACCCCCTAAACACCTCAAACTGCATTTCTAAAAAAAAAATAAGAACACTTTGCTATATAGCAAAAAATAACATTATCACACCTCAAATTAATAGTCATTCTTTAACATTATCTAATAGCCTGTATATATTCAAATTCCCCAAAATGTCCTTTGTAGCTTTTTTGTCCAAACTAGAAACCAACCCCAGACCACATATTGCACCTGGTTACTATGTCCCCTCAATGTCTTTTAATCTAGCCTCTAGTTTCTTTAGTCTCTTTCTTCCTGGAACCTTCTTACTGCAACCACTGGGTCTACGGACGTTCCCCCCACCCCACCTTCACTTGACTGTGGTGTCATTTAGCTTGTTCCTCTTTCCCTGGTATTTCCAAGAAGCTACATCTATGGGGTGATTAGACCCCAGGTAGATATCTTTGGCTAGACTGTATCCCAGGGATGCTGTGATATCAGAATGCATGACACCAGGGGACATGTGATCTCTGCTGTCCCATTTCTGACACTAAGATCAACCATTCGATGAGGGTGATGGCAGTCTGATCCATCCATTGTACAACTATGTTTTCCTCCTTTGACCAGAACCATATTGTTGTGATGTTCCTTTGGTTCCATGTGACTGTCCAGGTCCCACTGACCATTCACCTAATGTCTTCACCACAAGTTGATACTCCTTGCTTGGATCTATATTCTTATTGGGAGTTGCAAGATTATGATTTTCTCAATCTCTCATCCTGCTACACCTAGCCGGCATTCTGTAAAACGGAGCTTTATCTCATCAACTGGAGCTTTTGGTTATCCTCAAATATAGTTCCTAATGGGAAGACATTAAATGTACTTTCCCTTTAATTGCATAGTTTCCAAATAAGGGATTGGTGACTAACTGCCTCAAATAAGTTTCTTCCGGCTTTCTCCTTTTTAAGTATCATTATGGACTCACGAATTTTCACACATTCAATGGGTGTGCTTTTATTGAATTATTCTCAGCTCCCCTTATAATACTATTCTCATCAGAAACCAATGCAGCCCAAACTGAGTTTAATTTCAAACCAAGTTTCAAAACAAGAGTGGTTCCAAATATAACCTTCACACATTCTGGAAAGAGGAAGTGCTACTTTCTAAGAGAACAATGGAAGATACTCTAATAGATTATTATTATCATTATTATTCACATCTGCATTTTTTCCTCACCTTCAAGATATGGGAGAATTCCAGACATGGACCTGAAGGATGGTCATGCTCACCGATTGTTAGTGAGTTAGGGTGGTGTTGTGACTAATGCAGCACAGATAACCTCATGTTCAAGGTTAACATCTAGTTGATTGACCCATACTTAAGAGGCTTCTAAGTCATAAAATTAAAATGTTTTTCTTCTTACCTGCAGCAAGAGCCCAATCTAAACTCTTTCTTCCTCACATAAGAGCTTGTAGAAACAAGAAAATCAGAGTGCATCCTCAGGCGGTTCCCTCAGTAAGTCATGGTTTCCCCACCATGGTTTGCAGAAACCATCAGGAGAAGACTAAGTGTTCTTGTTGTTGTTATTAAAATAACTGTCAAGGAGGGTGTATGTGCAGAAGCCCCTCCTCCTCATCTTCCTCCATGGCCCTGCAGGTGTGCACATTGATTGACTTTGCCCTGTGTCCCTCCTGGTCCTCTCCCTGGGGAGCAGAGGCAACTGGAGAGACACCAGAGCATCCCAGCTCCTCACCTGGTGCATGATCCCAATTTGTCCCCCTGAGGCTTGCTTCTAGGTGACTCCACGTGTCCCTAGTGCTTTACATGGGGGAGGCAGAGGCTACAATTAAGCTGCAAATTTCTCCAAAGGAAAAGCAAAATTTTAGAATCAATTCACACAGCTTTAAGACTCATCTGCAGATACTAGCTACTATACATAAAATAGATATACAAGTTGCTTCTATATAGCACAGGGAACTATATTCAATATCTTGTAGTAACCTATAATGAAAAAGAATATGAAAATGAATATATGTATATGTATGACTGAAACATTGTGCTGTACACCAAAAATTGACACAACATTGGAAACTAACTATACTTCAGCTTAAAAAAAAGACTCACTTTACCTCATGAGAGCAGAAATATATCTGTTTTTGTCATCACCGTGACCCCCGGACCCTAAGATGGTGCCTGACATATAAATCAGGTCTCGCTATACATTTGATGAACAAATAAATTAACTTGATTAGCAAAAGTCCATAGCTGGCCATCTACAATTTTTATTTTCATAGGAAAAAGAGCTCCATGACAATAATAGTAATGATAACCGCCAGGCAGGGGATAAAATGCTCTGCAGTGGCTTGGTACCTTAGGCAAGCCACGTGGGCTGTTTCAGACCTTGGTTTTCCCAGGATAGGTTGTAATAAATGATATGAATGTCCCTCACAGCTTTCAGCTTCTAAAAATAAGTTGCCTTTTTAGGTAAAGGGTGAATACAGTCTTCCAGTTAGGTACACTGAGAGATGTAATTGGTGAAGCCTAAGAAAGTGGTGGACCTCAAGGCAGTTGTGTGCTTTGGCTTGTAATAAAACACTTCAGTTTTTTCCCTGATTTGTCCTGGGCTCTTAACTGATTCTCTCCAGGTCTTACTCATCCGTGATTTTGCTTCTTTTTTTAAGAAATTTTTGGAGGGAAGGTAATTAGATTTATTTATTTGTTCATTTTTTAGAGGAGGTACAGGGGATTGAACCCAGGACCCAGTGCATGCTAAGCATGCACTCTGCCACTTGAGGTGTACCATCCCCCTTAGATTGTGCTTCTTATATCTGCAAATAAGCAGACACACACACACACACAGACACACACACACACCTCTGCAAACACAACTCACTAATACGCAGGGTCAACCTACCAGAGGACTTTTTTTTTTTAAACATCCCCCTACCACCACCACACCCACCCTGCATACACGTTGAACCCAGATTAAGTGGTTTTTGTGTGAGACTAGCAGCCAGGTAGAAATACCTTTTTGGGAATAAAGCAGGTGTATTT